TCTCCTTTTTTTTTTTTTTTTTTTTTTTGACATCTCCTTTTTTTCGAATTTGATTTTTAAAGTTCTCGACAATTACTTAAATTAACTTAAAATCCAATCTAAATCTGTTAATTTACACAAAAATAAGTTAACTTCAATCAAATCAGTTTTAGTATTTAACTCATTTAGTAATTTTCGTTGAAATTAATTACAGGTGCTTTGAATTCGTTTCAAATTTATTAAAATTTCTTAAATTACATTGATATTAATCCCATTTATTAAATATTAACAATTTAAATTTTCATTTAAATTGATTTAATCTATTAAATAAATTTTAAATTCAAATATTTTGAAATAAATATTTAATTTATTTAAATATTTTTTAAAGTTATTTTTATTTTTATTTTTGAATTTTTTTTTTAATTAATTATTGCAAAAATCTTGAATTCCAACATTCAATTAATTTCATTCATTTTTTTGTAAAATCGTAATCTTAAATTTTAATTTTTTCGAATTAACTCATTGCGGCTAGGCTACCAGAGTGGCCCGGGGTCACTTGCCCGGCCGGGCCGAAAAAAAAAAAAAAAAAAAAATTAGAAAAAATAAGTTTAAAAAAAATATATTTATTATTCTAAATTTGATGAAGAATTTCGATGTGACCTGAGGCAAAAGTTGTTCAGTTTATTTTTTTACATAACACAGTTTTTCTTTCGGATTTTGGGCTTTTTTTTTCTTTTTTTTTTTTTTGCTTGGACCTTCCCTGGTCCTTGCACGGGCTGGCCACCCGGGACCCGGGCGGCCCGGCTGGTAGCCTAGCATTGCGGTCATTTTTGCCGAATTAAATTAATTCCACACCCTGCCTCCACATAAATCCCCAAATTCCTTTGATCTTTTCCTTTTTAAAAAAAAAATCCTCCTCCTTGAAATTTATTTAATTTTTTTTCGACATTTTGTAAATTTGGAATTTTTTTTCTTTTCTTTTTTGGAAAACCTTGGCAATTATCTTTATTTATTGATAAATAAATCAGAAACTC